CCCAAATCAGGGTGCAAATCGCCCTTCCGTCAGCTGTGGAGCTCCCTGAGAGGACTTTTGGCCAAACCCACCTCACAGGGTTGTTGTGACTGGCATGAGAACAGGATGAGGATCTTAATTTTGCCCTGATGCACAAAGAACAAATATTATCACTCTAAATCTCTGCAACTGTCACCCTGCAAAAGGCAGATCAAAAGTCATAATGCAGCCTTGAGCTTTGTGCCCAAGTGAAATTTTGAGCCACACACAAAGATGCACGGCAGTCTCCAATGCTTGTGAAATAAGACCACTGCTGGATCAGACTTGGCCAGGATCCGCCCAGCCCCCTGTCCTGTTTCCAAACTCTGGAGAACCAGATGCATGTCCAGCAAAGGGGGGGGGGGAGCATTTCCACATATAATCAAGCGGGTTCTCTGACCTTCCTGCACGGCAAGGCTGGCCAAGTCTCAGTTCGTACTCAGGTTCCTACATTTCACTGATTTAATACCCGTCACTAGATCGTTTTCACTGGACTGAGTCTACGACAGAGAAGCCAAGAAGAATCTCCAGCCATTCCGCATCCAGATGCCCAGATTTCTTACTTGCCCTCTTTTCTCGGGCAGCCTCCTCCAGAGGACTCACCTCTTTGTGCTCCTCGGCTATGCCACACATCATGCAGAGGGGGGCTTCGTCGTCTTTGCGGGAAGACCTCAGGAACTCCTGGTGCTTCAGGCACAGCTGCCCATTCGCACCGGCCTCTTTCCCCTCCTGCAGAGCGAATCTTTTGATTATTTCCACAAAGTTGGCCAGCTGCAGGTTGGGGCGGAGGTTCTTGGGCTGAGCTCTTCCCCTGCACTGGGGGCAGGAAGGCTCGGACGAGGCCCCCGGCTCCCCCCAGCTGCGATTCAGGCAGGCCCGGCAGAAGTTGTGGCCGCACTCGGCGATGGTCACCGGGTCCTGGAAATAGTCCAGGCAGACGGAGCAAGAGGCCTCCTCGCAGAGCTCCTTCAGGGGACCCGCCGCCGCCATGGCTGCGCAGTACCTCCACAAAGGCGGGAGAGAAACGGAGAGAAAAGAACAGAAGTAGTTTCGGTTTTCTTCCGCTTCCCAAAGCAGCCAGAGGGGCGTCTCCCTTCCTGCAAATTAGTTCTCTGCCGGCGCCCAATCAGCGGCCGGGCTGCAAAACCATCCCAAGCTTATTTTGCACCCTAGGGGAGGATCCCTTCTGGCGTTGTAAAACACATTAAAAGCAGCACACAGAC